AAAAAAAAAAAAAAAAAAAAAAAAAAAGAACAAGAATTCTAAAAAAGTTAAAACTTCAAAAAACTTTAGAGAAAAATTTTAGTAAAGAAAAAAGTGATGGAAATTGCCCTAAAACTTAGAATACATCAAAGAGCAATCAAATCAGTAGTGCTAAACCCCGTACTTTCAAAAGTCTGACTCATTGGTAACATTCAGCAACTCCGCATGTTCTTCTCTAAAACAAGGCACATGCAAAAGTGTTTTTTTTTGGTTAGGAAAACCTTTCAGTTTATATAAACGATTGCTCAAAAAACTTTCCTATGACTCATCAACGCAAACGATTCTCCACTGTAACAGTCAGAACACTAGTGGTATTCTGCAGGAAAATGCAGTTCAACAGGCGTAAAGTAGCGGCGTTGACGAATTCGGGGAAGGGGTGAGGAGACGGTGATAGAAAGGGAGTATTTCAGTCTGAAACTCTTTTTTGTGCACTTTTTTTTGTTGCCCACTTCGTTATCATCTCTCTCAGTTGCTCCCATTTGTCTGCATATTGCTCGATTTTATCTGCTGAAAATAATATTCATCCAACAGCAACAAATCAGTTTGTAGCAGCAGAGTTTTTTCTTGTTTTTGGAGGATCAAAGTGAACAAACCTCCACTACCAACTCACTGTTACACATATATAAGAATTATTTCTGTACGACACTTATAAATGACTAAATTACATCATCCGCTTAATTAAAAAAATGAGGTAAAAAAAATATCGGACAAAAAATAATGAGTTCTTGGTTGGTTCAAATGAGTAAGGAAAGAGACTGAAAAGGGAAAAAAAAGAGAAAAAGAGGTAAAATTCAAAGAAGACCATAAGAATAGAGAAAACAGATAAGAAGCAACATGTCAGATGTTCACAATTAAATATTCTTGTCTTGGATGTTATTAAACTATACTGATAACTTTTGTAGTGCAAATAACGTATAAGACAGCAGTGTAAACAGTAATTCTGTTTTAACTGTTTCAATTTAGCTGTTGGAAGCACGAAGAAAGTTGAGCAATAAACTATTTATCTAAATGAGCATGTAACTAAGACAAATGAGCGTTACGTACGAACCAATAAACCATAAACAAACAATATTATTGGCAAAGGTAAATTCATAACCATAAAAGGAAATAAAAAAATATATAGCTATGGCTAACACAAAGCTAAAAAAACTGGGAGGATTTTCAAATACCGAAACGCCTAAACCGAGTCTCCAGACATGGTTTGCACAGTTCCAATTCCAGATACTGCTGAGTAATGTATTTTAAAATTTGATGATTACGACTATATTGCCTGTTATTTTGTGTTTTAAGTGTTTTTTTTCTTCAGTTAGCCTAGACAAGAGAAAATTTTAAATTTATAAGTCAGAAATCATCTGCATTTGATAAAGGACCACTGGAGAGCTCTATTAAAAATCTCATTTCAATGATCTTTGCTGCTCGGCTATTCAACAGGTATAATTATTGTGCTAAAGATTACTAATCTATGCAAATTAGCTTTTATTTCCTCATTCCTCCTCTCGCTTTCCCTTCCTGCCCCCCCCCCCCCCCCCC